AAGCGCTTTGAGACGTCTTGAAGATGTGATAAGGCACTATATCAAATGCAAGGATTATTATTATTATTATTATGACACACAGATCTACTTCTCTTCCAGCTGCGACTCCAGGTCCGCTGATGTTCTTGCAGCTTATCTGGCAGGCATCAGACCATACACATTGGCTCCCATCAACGTCTTCTATCCTATGGCTCTGACATCCTCAACCTCCCTGGTCTATCTCTCAGACTTACTGAACCGGTACACAACCTAGGCATCAGGTTCGACTCACAGTTGTCCTTTTTTCCCCACACCTGGTCCCTGACCAGGACCGCCTTCTTCCGATTCCGACGATATCTTAGCCCAAATGAAACTGAAACACTCATCCATGTGTTTGTTACCTCTCACCTCGAATATTCTGTCCTGTATATATGTGCGGTCCTGTAGCTCAGTGATTAGAGCACACACCTCTCAAGCAAGAACAACAACAACAACTTGGATTTATATAGCGCCCTCCATGCTGGATGGCGTCTACAGAGCGCTTTACAGTTCAGGATCCCGGGACCGAGCCAGGGGGAGGGGAAGCAAGAGACCTGGGTTTGATTCCTGGGCAGGGCGAAATATTGGTTTTAAGTGTTTTACTCCACACGCCTCTGTTTACTCAGCAGTAAGTAGGAACTGGGTTGTTAGTTGATTGGCAGATCTCTTTTTTGGGGATAACAATTCCTTCCAAAAAATAATAATAAATTGGTTACTTCAATCAACAGCTGTTTGTGGGGACGCTGCTGTGTACAATTTGCTGCCACGTTTGCCCACAAAATATACAGTCAATTCACTTTATAGTGTATTATTTGAAGCTTTTTGAGATGTCTTGAAAACATAAAAAAGCGCTATTTCAAATACAAGGATTATTATTATTATTATTCAAATGCCCTCCTCACAGATATCGCCAACTCGACTATCCACAAAATCCTGATGTGAAAAGCACGATACAAATGTAATTTGTTGTTGTTTTGCCTATGGTCATCTCCCCTCTTCACCACCGTCAAGCGCTCTGGGACACTACTCCGCATGAAGGGTGCTATGTAAATGCAAGTTGTTGTTGTTGTCGTCAGGTGGCTCCTGTTTACTACATCAATCCCAGGTCTTGGAATTGTGAAATGCAATCACTTTCTTTGAAATGAATCCGCTCACAGTGTCAACAAAATGTCACTGCCACTTATCTAAATATTTCACCGGGAATAATTCAGCTCAAGAATAATAATCCTTGCGTTTGATATTGAGTTGTCAAACATTTGAAAGTGCTTCAAGGGTTTAACCTTGGCTGTGGGCTGTGTTTGTAGGCGAATGCTTCTATGGAAAAATGGAAAGGTGGCATTTTGCTTCAAAATCACTGTTTCCTTTTTGAAACAATATTTGTAACCATTCATTCTGTTTGCGATAATCTGATTACACTTACAATCACAACAACTGCTTGCATTTATATAGTGCCCTTCACATGAGATAGCATCCCACAGCACTTGACAGTGGCGGAGTCTGACCCCAAGCCTGGGGGGAGGGAGGGGGGAGGTGACCAAAACACAGTCGAAGAAAAAGGTCTTTCATTCATGATCTAAAAGAGAGGAAGGTGGAGGGATTGGGGGAGAGTTCCAAAGCTTTAGGGCGTAGTGGCTGAAAACATGGATGACAATGGTGGATCGTAGGGAACGAGGGTGAAGCAGAGGCCAGAGCCAGCTGAGCTGAGCGGAAGCAACGGACAGTGTAGTGGGGAGAAAGCAGGTCAGAAAGGTAGGGAGGCTCCAGGGCGTGAAGGGATTTGTAGACAAGTATGAGGATCTTGAATTCGATCCGGTCTTTGATAGGAAGCCAGTGGTGCCTGTTGAGGGCTGATGTGATGGGGGTACGGAGTATAGTCTGTGTGGTAGGAAGCCAGTGGAGCCTGGAAGGACTGGTGTGATGGGCATACGGAGTTTAGTGAGAGTGAGAATACCAGTGGCAGAGTTCTATATCAGTTGTAGTTTGAGGGTAGTGGAACTGGGAGACTGGCGAGGAGGGCATTTCAATAGTCAAGTCAGGAGGTCACCCTGGTCAAGGGTTTTGGCTGTGTTGGAGTGATAATGTGTAAGAGGTGGAGGAAGGCGGTCCTGGTCAGGGACCAGATGTGGGGGAGGAAGGACAGCTGTGGGTCAAACCTGACGCCAGGTAAGTCTTAGGAGAAGGCCAGGGAGGTCAGAGTCTTTCACACAGTCTTGTATCTCATATCCCTGGGATTTGGCCCTAAATGGGTTTTGGCGTTATAAGAGAGCAATGAAAGAAAATAGCACCAGTCCTGCCAAGGTCATCAGATCACTGCTGACAGTACTTCTGGTGCTGGCTGACTGGCTTCCTGTGCAGACATTTCCATACTGGATTCACACACATATCCAAGAGCTGATTATTTCACCCACAAAATGAGTCCTGTAGCATAGTGGTTAGAGCACTCACCTCGCAAGCGAGAGGACCTAGGTTCGATTCCCGGGCAGGGCGAAACCTTAGGCAAGTTTCCTTAATCCACACACACACCTCTGTTTACCTAACAGTAAACAGGAACCCAGTTGTTAGTCGATTGGTGGATCGCTTCTGGTGGTACAAATCCCTTTAAAAAGTGTTTCTAAATAATTTGGTCACTCAATCCACGACTGTTTGTGGGACACTGCTGTGTGCAATTGGCTGCCGTGTTTCGCTCACAAATATACAGTCAATTCACTTTCCAGTATATTCTGTGAAGCGCTTTGAGACTCTCAAAAATGTGATAAGGTGCTATATCAAATGCAAGGATTATTATGATTATTATTATAAAACCCATCAAACCACTAGCCATAGCAAGTCCTGATAACAAACCCTGATATCCCAAGACATTATCACTGGGCTAAGAGATGCCAAGAATATTCTCTCTTCACCCACATAACTAACTGTTTCCATAGCAATACTCACCGTGCAGCACCGTAGGATGGATTGTAACACTGGAGAACATTTGTCAAACTCAACCAAACCCATTAATTAAAAAATGTAAACAATTTTTGCTATGATGATTTCTCACACCAGCTTATTACCAACCTCTGTGTATGTGTATGTGTGTGTGTGAGGCTGAAAGCCTTACCTGGACTGTCCACCACAGTGTGGCCATGTGCTGTAGCTGCAGAGGCAGGTGAGATGTATTTGCACATTGTCACTAACCCAGACATTACTGAGGTGTGGCTCGCTGTGGGATTTGTGCCCAGAATTTGAGCCCAGCATTCCACATATCCTTGTTATCAGATTGACAACAAGGGCGCTGCCATTTACAGACACAGTCCAACATTACCATCATAAGCCACATATCAACACAGTACTTATGGTCTTTGCAGCTCCTGAAAAAGGCGATCATAACGTGACCTCTTGTACAAGGTTATGGCTTTTATTTCTAATATTAGTGGTTTTGCTCAACAATTGGTACACTTTTACCTTTGTATTGTTTTAAGGATTCCTTAAATTGCCAAATATTATTTTCTGCCCCCATCCCTCTAGAACTCCATCTGACTCCCTCCATCTGCTTCTCTCCCCACTTTTAAAAGCCAGCATAATGCTCACCTCTGACCACATTTAAGCTCAACTTTAACCACACTTTGTCCCCCCCATCCCCCCCACTCTGACTCTGGTACAAGCTGTGTGCAGTGCTTTGTGACATCCACCCAATGTGAAAGGCAGTGTATAAATGTGTGTTGTAGTGTAGATTAAACCCAATCTGAACATCAGGGAATCAGAACCCAACTGCACTGCATAGCCACTGGTCATGTCTATCCAATGACACCCAGTGTTCTTGGGCAGTTCTTTATTTAACTAACAAATCTGACTATTTCCCACTCCATCCTTTACTCTAAGGGCTCTGATTTTCACAATGCTCCTCTTGTAAACCTTAACCAATCCTTCCTCAAATTGGAGGATTGTGGGTGAATGGCCACTGACCTCCCGCCAAGTGGGAAGATCTCATTAGAAGCGGCAAATGGCAAGTCTTGCCCAAGATATCAGCTGGACCTCCCACCATTACAACATTTCTTGACATCCACAAACAATTTGCAACAAATATATTCAATGTGACTTTTTTCTAGGGAAGTGAGCAACCAACTGCTCTCAAGGCTCTCACTTACACAAAGCAGTGTCCCACGACTGTTTGTGGGACTCTACTGTGCGCAATTGGCGGCCGCGTTTTGCCCACAAAATGCACAGTCAATTCACTTTACAGTATATTCTATGAAGGTCATTGAGATGCCTCAAAGACGTGATAAGGCGCTATATCAAATGCAAGGATTATTATTATTATATGTAAATGCATTGGATTCCTACTTCTATTAACTGACTCTAATGTATTTCCTCTATCTGCCATTTCCTGGATTTTATTTTAAAAGTACTGGTCAAATATTACTTGTCTTCACTAATCTCTTTGGGTCACTCCAGAGCCAATAACTGTAGTTGTGTTTCTCCCTGATTCCCCGCCACCTTGTAGCATCTCAAATACTCGAGTTTTAATGTCGGTTTGGTTATTAACCTCTTATGTTCAAGATTATTGTGATTGTTTGCTTCCTTTTGTATTCATTGTATTTCCCTATGAGTTGTGTTTATTTTCTTTATTAGCTCCTCTTCGCCTCTGCTTAAAATTCTGCTTAACACATGCTCGGAGAACCTCGGTTTACTGATGACCATTATAATAATAATAATCCTTGCATTTGATATAGCACCTTATCACGTCTTTAAGACGTCTCAACGCACTTCACAGAATATACTGTGAAGTGAATTGATTGTATATTTTGTGGGTGAATTGTGGCAGCAAATTGCGCACAGCAGCGTCCCACAAACAATCGTGGATTGAGTGACCAAATTATTATTTTTTAGGAGGGATTATTACCCTCGGAAAAGCAATCCGCCAATCGACTAATAACAGAATTCCTACTTACTGCTAGGTAAATAGAGGCGAGTGTGTGGATTAAGGAAACATGCCTCAAGCTTCGACCTGCCTGGGAATCGAACCCAGGTCCTCTCATTTGTAAGACAAGTGCTCTAACCACTGAGCTACAGGGCTCCACCATTGCAGGTTGTTTGTTTATTTTTTCATCCAGACAATCCTTTAGCAGTTTATGCTCCACAATTTTTATTTTCCTGCCTCCCTCATAGGAACGTAGGGAAACAGGAACAGGAGAAGGCCATTCAACCCATCAGCCTGTTATTGGATCTCAACAAATCTTTTACTCCCAATGTCTTGCCCTTTTGCCATTCCCATCCATGCCTCTACTTCCAACGTCTTTGTACACCTCTATTACACACCCCCATTAATTCCACCTCTACCACTTTCTGGGGCAATACATTGCATATCCTCACAACCCTGTGTGTGGAGAGATGCCCCCCTGACCTCAGTTCTTAGTTCTGATTTCCAAGCTCTGCCCCTTGTCTACGTGTTAAGCATTCTCAGGGGAGAGAGTTGCTGATGGCCAGATCAGACTATGTCCTGCCTATTGTAACATATTTGACGTTCCAGGCAGGACATTCCGGGATGAACCAGGTCCATCTAAAAACTTTACAATTTGAAGTTAGATTGAAAAGGAATCTTTGTAGCCAAGTTTTTAATGAGCCTAACTGTTGTGATATTTACTCTCAGTGCCAAAGTGAAGGGGGATAGTCAGCAGAAAATGAGCATTATAAAGGTGAAATATTACAGTCTTATGACACATTCAGTGCGTTAATTGTGTTATGAAATGGCCCAAATATCTCCCCTTTAAGGGTTTGAACTATAGAAATTTACAGCGCAAAAGATGGCCATTTGGCCCATCCTGTCAGCACTGGTTCTTTTAAAGAGCGATCCTTTCAGTCCCATTTATCTGCCCTTTCCCCAGAAGTTTTATCAAACCATAGAAATTTAGAGCACAGAGAAGGCCATTTGGCCATCATGTCTGAATAGAAAGATCAGTAATATTTATAACAAAAGTAATAAATTGGTCATTTTTCAATCTACGACTGTTTGTGGGACATTGCTGTGCGCAATTGGCTGCCGCGTTCGCCCACAAATATACAGTCAATTCACTTTACAGTGTGTTCTGTGAAGCGCTTTGGGACGTCCTCCCGACGTGAAAAGCGCTATATCAAATGCAAGGATTATTATTATTATTATTATTATTAATAAGGAGAACAAGAAATGGAGGAAATAAGCCACTTTTTCTTTTTAAATGGGGGGGGTGGGGGGCAAGTCAGTGAGTATAGCAGTCCACTAAACTCTGGCCAGGCTATTGTAACCCCAGTTAAAGAGAAATTTGACTGGAATCATGCTTTAGCCAAATAGTGCTATTTTAACTCAAGTAAATAACACAACTGTATAGGGCTTTGGTGAGACCGCACCGAGAGTATTGTGTGCAGTTTTGATCTCCTTATTTAAAAAAGGACATACTTGCTCTCGAGGGGGTGCAGCGTAGGTTCACTCGGTTAGTTCCTGGGATGAGGGGACTGACCTATGAGGAGAGGCTGAATAAACTGGGGCTATATTCTCTATAGAGTACAGAAGAATTAGGGGAGATCTTATTGAAACTTATAAGATTCTTAAAGGGCTGATAAAATAGACACTGAGGGACTGTTTCCCCTGGAGGAGAATCTATAACCAGGGGTCACAGTCTTAAAATTAAGGTTCAGCCTTTTAGAACAGTGTTGAGGAAACATTTCTTCACTCAGAGGGTAGTGAACTTATGGAATTCACTCCCCAGAAGGCTGTAGATGCTCAGTCCTTGAACATTTTCAAGGCTGAGACTGATAGATTCTTGAAAAATAGAGGGATTAGGGGATATGGGGATAGGGCAGGTAATCAGAGTTAGGTCAGAAGATCAGCCATGATCTTATTGAATGGCGGAGCAGGCACGAAGGGCCGAATGGCCTACTCCTGCTCCTAATTCTTATGTTCTTATGTAACTCTCTGGGTGCTCGGCAGAGAAAGGAAAGGGAATGTAAACGGAGAGGTTCAGCCACACTTCCTGGTTTGCGTTTGATTTTGAAACATTCCATGATGTGGGCAATGGACTTTGATTTGTTCACAGGGCAAGTCTGAGATTTCACTTCTTCTAAATGCCACGGCTTTTATTACTGCTCAAAGTCGAGCTATGGATATGGCCTTGGGAAAGCTCCAGTTGAACTAATGTCGTATAGAAAGCTTGTGTAGAGCAGGACTTGCACGAGAGGGTGACTATTTGTTCTGTTGAGCGTTCCAAAGAGAACGCTTTCTCTGTGTTCCACAACTGTCAAGCGTTCTGGGACGCAAACCCTTTGTGAGGGGCGCTGTGTAAATGCAGGTTGTTGTTGTAGTTCCTGAGAGCAGCTCTTGCTGATAGTTAGCAATAGCATTGTGTTTTATAATTGTGAACAGATCCCTGTAAAGATCATGACAATTAACAGACAACCAATAAATGGACCCTGGGAAAGGCACGTAGTGGGTGGTTATTGTTGTAGTTTTGGAGTGTATTGAGATGAGGCACAAATAAACTAAGTAACACACCAATACTTTGCTGTAAGTATTATTACAATAATTAGGAGAAAATGACTTTAATGACACCTTTGTTATAAGAAGTCTTTTAGAAAGCTTCTGTTTGTTTATTGGTTAGATTTTGTTCATAAGTCACCCCTGACATTGATCTTACAGAACATTTTTGATACTGATCCGAAACGTTTTTATCAGGTCCCTGAATGCAAGAGTGAGAGTTAATAACTGAGATAATCTTTATCAATCTTAGGTCAGTTCTTCTCCATTGGCTTCCATTCTCATCGTGTCTGATAGTGCTTAGACTCCATGTTTGCCAGATCAGCTGGAACCCTACCCTGTGTCTGATAGCTGCCTCTTGAAAATGAATAATATTAATCCTTACATTTGATACAGAGCCTTTCATACCCAAAGGGTGTCTCAAAGCTCTTCACAGGAGTTTACTGTAAAGTGTAGTGACCTTGTACTTGTAGGTGAATGAGGCAGTTAATTTGCTCAGAGAAATGTCGCACAAACAGAATTTAGTTTTGGGGAGAGTTTGTTGGCCAGCTGCACAATCCATTCTAATCAAAGAGTTAAGATTGTAGGAGATACCCGTACAGATATCTTTAACTAATAACTAAAGCTCTGTGTTTACAAGGGATTTTCCGACACTAGCAATGGCTTTCGCCTGAGCAGAGGCTGACGCTGAGGTGAAGGTTTGGATGAAATGTCGGCTTGCGAGGTTCTGGGCTGTGACATTGACGTACTATCACCCGCACGCTCCATCTCCTCGGGATGTAATCAGTCAGCAATTAATTCCTCATTCCTATCATTTCAAAGGCCATGTTCACATTTATTTAGTTGTAAAAGATTTATAATAATAATAATCCTTGCATTTGATATAGCGCTTTTCATGTCTGCGAGATGTCTCAAAGCGCTTCACAGTGAATTGACTGTATATTTGTGGGTGTACAGCAGTGAACCACAAACAGTCGTGGACTGAGTGACCAAATTATTCATTTTTTTCAAGGATTATTATGCTCGGAAAAACGATCCGCCAATTGACTAACAACCAGGTTCCTGCTGGGAATAGAACCCAGGTCTCTCACTTGCACTATGATTTCATTGAATTTGCTGCAAATCTTGGCAGGAATATTTTGCCCTTAGAGCTTCAGAGTCCACTTAACTTGTTCAGACTGCTTCTACAACAACAACAACAACTTGGATGTATATAGTGCCCTCCACGACGGACGGCATCTCAGAGCGCTTCACAGTAACGGATCCCGGGGCTGAGCCAGGGGAGGGGAGGAGCCGGGTGAGGGGGAGGAGCCGGGTGCGGGGGAGGAGCCAGATGAGGGGGAGGAGCTGGGGGAGGGGGAGGGGCTGGGGAGGGGGCAGGCGGAGGTGGGGGGGGAAGGTGACCAAAGGCACGGTCGAAAAGAAAGGTCTTCAGCAGAGACCTCAAAATAGGGAGAGGGTGCAAGACGAAGGGAGTGAGGAAGGCAGTTCCAGAGCCTCAGGACATAGTGGCTGAAGGCACGGCCGCCGAGGGTGGAGCGGAGGACTCGGAGAACAAGAAGTAGGTCAGACCCGGAGCAATGAAGGCAATGGGTACTGTTTTGAGGAGAGAGGTCAGAGAGGTCGGGGGTGCAGAGGAGTGCATTGAATGCACTGGGGGGATCGGGGAGCGGAGTTTGGTGCGGGTGAGAATGTGGGCGGCAGAGTTTGAATGATCTGGATTTTATGGATGGTAGTGGAGGGGAGGCCGGCGAGGAGGGCGTTAGAGTAGTCCAGCCGAGAGGTGACAAAGGCATGGACCAGGGTTTCAGCGGATTTTGGGGAGAGGTATTGACAGAGACGGGCGATGCGTCGGAGGTGGAAGAAGGCGGTGCTGGTGAGGGATCGGATGTGGGAGAGGAAGTATAATTGGGGGTCGAACCTGAAGCCTAGGTTACGTATGGGTTCGGAGAGTTTTAGGGGGAGGTCGGGTAGGTGGAGAAGGTGAGAGCCGTGAGATTTTAGACGTTGACAAGAGCCAAAGAGTATGTAGCACTGAGTGTTACACGACCAAACCCCATTGATTTAAGCTAAGGAAAAGCAGAACAATGTAAATCTGAGAAACAGGAATTCTCCGTCTTTCAGCTGCATTATAAATATGCAAAGGCACAAATATGGAAAGGGGCAAGAAATAGGAATACAGCTCTATGCAGAAAATTATGCATGCATCCCTGTTCCACCTGTAGGCAGTTAATAACGATGAAACTTGATCCAATAAATTGCACTGCAAATCCTTGTGAAATATCCAGGAGATTCCGCTTCCCTTTCCCAGGTAAATCATCTTCAAAGCTCAAACTGATTTGATGCTGTTTCCTATTCGACACGGCTTTAAGAAGAGCAATCCTTTGCCACTTTGCTCTCTCGTTGCCATTCTCTCAGCTGCTCCTTGTTTTGAATCCCTTATTGCTGAAGGTTCATTGCGTAGCACGAACTGTGGGCAATGTGCTGACCCCCTGTGTGGCTTATACAGAACAGGAAGGCCCCAGCATACACCTCAGATTTGTGTTGAGGTATTGGAGCTTAGACAGAGC